TTAATTTATTAAAAGTTATTGGGGCCTCAGTCAGTGGTTTTTGTCACTACGGAGAAAAATGTAGATGCATTTATCTACATTTTTATATAAACCGCATAAAATGCGACTAAATAGCCGATGTTAATATGATTGTAATTTCACGGATAAAAATAGTACATGAACGATTTTGTTGTTGTTGTTGTCGGTCAAGATAACGGATAACAAAAAAGTAGCCCGCCCTGACACCAACTCACACACATCTTCATTCACAGTCTTGCTTGTAGATTGATTTTTCTTTTCTTGGATGTTTTGATGTTAGCTTGTCGATGTCTCAGTTTTATTCGCTGGTAAAATCAATAAGCAGCTTGAGGTGACTCTGCTGCTCTCTAGTGGCGAGAAGCCGTAATGTTGGCTGGTAATCGGAATGCATTATGGGAGATGTAGTTTGTAGTCAATTCGTTTTCAAAACCTATTTTAAATCAATCATGGGCCTATAAAACGCTGGGTGGGCCACATAAAATGACGTGGCGGGCCACATGTGACCCGCGGGCCTTGAGTTTGACACGTGCATTAGAGTATGTAGACTGTAATGCAGTGGTTCCCAAACTTTTTCTCCTGGGCCCCCCCAGTGGTTTCCAAACTATTTCTGCCCCCCCCCCTATGGCTTACAAATAGCCGTCTGGTTGAACGATGTGTGTGCGCGAAGGAGGGAGGGGGAGGCGGGTGGATTCTTAGAAACTCCCTGTTATACTCAGCCCCGGCTCCAGACGAACAAGGGGTGGTGGGAGGGAATCAACTTTTTGGGGGGCAAAATAAATTGTAGCTGAACATAGACAGCTTTACTCATCAGTCGGTTAGTTTGGGGGAAAAACTGTGAAAAGTTCTTTACGTTTTGCTGGTTTGCTGCCATGATTCTAACACACCTGTAGCTCCGCACAGCAGCAGCAGGTCTCCTTCACTGCCCACAGGTGTAAACCCAGCGCGAGTGAAGTAGCTCTCATGTTGCATTTGAAGGCGGCTCGGAAAAACGGATTAAATAGTTTTAACTGCTGATAAAAATAACAGAGGACACAGATATGGGAAATGCGGAAGCCCCTACTGTATCAAATTGACAGAGGAATAACAGAGAGTTGGCCATTCTAAGGTAAAAACCCAGCGCAGCCCCACAATTTGGGAACCTCTGCTCTAATGCATCCTCCAGGACCCTGCTGAGGGTGTGGAGCTGGTCCAGTGTTCCACATTCAGGACAAAAACCTCACTGCTCTTCCTGAATCCGAGGCCAGACTATCTGATGGTTCCTCCTCTCCAGGACCCCTGAATAGATCTTAGCATGGAGCCTGTGATCTCTCTAGTTTGAACACACTCTGCAATCCCCTTTTTTATAGGGGACTATGGGGAAATTTTACTGCCATAAGTCAAGAACACACATTTTCAGTCTGAAAACAGGACTTCATGTCTTTGTACTCAAAACTTTTGCTCTCTTGGCTCAGTAGGTGCTATCATATGGGTTCTACTATAATCAGTAGTAGCCATACAGACACCCTGAAGGAAACCAATGCACACAATATAACCCTTTCATTCTATTGGCTGAGAGGTTGCCATGTGGTGGTACTCTTTGTTTCTCAAGAGAGCAGAAAACAAATTTGCAAGTGAGCAGAGAACTTTGAGCAGAAATTTGATCCGAGTGGAGAGAAGAGGAGAAAGATTTGAGAAGGCACAGTGAATATTTGAAAGAGAGCAGAAATTTTGAGTACAAGCATTACAAGTTTTTAGAATAAAGACATGAAGTCCTGCTTTCATATGTGCTCTCAACTTATGGCAGTAAAATCCCCCCATAGGTACCACCACACCATTCTCCCAATCAAGGGGAACTTATCCCAATGTCCACATAAACCAACACAGCCCAACAACATTCAGAGCCTAAAGAAACTCTGGGCAAATCCCATCCACTCCTGAGGCCTTGCCCCTCAGGAACTCTTTAAGCACCTCAGTGACCTCGTCCCCAGAGATTGGAGAGCCCGACCCAGAGTTCCCAGGCTCCCCTTCCTCAATGGAAGGCATGTTGGTGGGATTGAGGAGGTCTTCAAAGACCCACTGACTCATTACGTCCCCAGTCGAGATCAGCAGCACACCATCCCCATTATAAACGGTGTTGGTGGTGTCATCAGCACTCTGTGTCATACATCTGATTTAATTGTTTGCTGAAACAGGTCTGTGACCATGAGATGGGGTGTGTCAGTGAGATTACATGTCCAGATATTGTATGCAAATAAAAGAACACAAAAAATTAGAAAAATGGACTAAAAGATGAACAAAATTCAGATATTCTTGAGACCATGTAAGTTTATTTGGAAGCTATGTTTTAGTTGAGAAAGGCAGAAAAGAAAATGAAAATGTATTTCATTGTTTAGATTTTCTGACGTATTCTTCCTTTTTTATTTTGTCAAACATAGTGCACACCTAAAAGATTTAGGTGTGCACTATGCACTATTTTTCTTTTTTTTTATATTACAAATACAATGAAAGCAAAGATTTTTGTATTTACAAAAAGACAAAGTAAACTTATGTAGAAGATCTAATCAATTGGTAAAACTAAATTATTTTATATTTTTGCTTGCTAAACTGCCACCATTTACATTATAAAACAAAACAAAAAACATTGCCAGCTCCTTGGCTGAAATTTCTGGTAGACCTAATATAAATGTCTCACTGAATTCCTCTGCTGGACTTCGAAACCAAAAGTGTCCAAAGGCAGCATTGGTGGCTGAACTGCTGCAGGTCAGTAGCATCATAAACTTTTTGGCACAGCAGCATTTGGCAAACGTTCAATGGGTCCAGAGCACATACTCAACTCTGCTGCTCAACCAACACATCAACGCTTCTTACAGATGTGGCACCATTCTGCTTTGCATTGCCAAAAAGCATTGTTACAACAAAAAATTAACCAACCAGATTTTCCTTACCTTTTCTGCTAAGTTATTTAGATTACATCAGTAATCAATAACCTAGATGCTGCAGTGGGAAAGAGAATGTAGCTGTTAAGACCAGAAGAAAAAAAGTCAGCTTGGCTAAATAAATAAATAAATAATAAAAAGGTAAATTAAAAGAAAACTGCTATTTTGCAGACTCGTGGATGAACAGGAGAAGCTAAATTTGGCTGTGACCTGCCCAGAGCTGCAGCTTGTCATCGATCTACGTGCTTTGTTGTTTGAAATTTTTAATTTGGGTGCTCTTTAGACGGCCAGTGAAAGGGCATTGTTGGCAAGAGACGAACTCCCCTTCTGCCGCTGCCATTCAGCACTCGGCCTTTTTTTCTCTTCTTCCTTCAAGGGAAAAGGTGCCATGAATATTTTTTCAGGGGGCTGGGGATCGAGGCAAACAAGACATGAAATGGCGGATTAATTGAATCTCGTGTTTGAGCCTTTGGTCCTTGCTTTTAGACCGGTGCTTTAAATGAATACAAGGCTGCTCTAATTGTGCAGAGACACAGAAGAAGTATCCTTCAGATTCCTTTGCTTTTCCTGTGTGGATGGGAATTTGATTTAGCAGCAAAAGGCATCTTATTAGCTGCTTAACTCTGCAGTGTTACACTGTTGGGAAGGTTTTTAACGGCACTCCTAATTTTATGTTACAATGCTTCTGTGGACGGCATCTGTCTTATTTTAGAAAAAACTCATTGTTTTTGTCGTTTCCATGTCTCCCCGTCCATAAATATGATGCCACCCTGATAACCACAGCAACAGTACCACTCCAAAATTGATGTTCTGATTGATGACACGTTCAAAGAAATGATCTTCTCCCTCACATCAAAGGTACTTTCATCCTTGATTCTGTTGTATTTTTCATACACATTTCTAAAGAATTTTGCTGTACATTACTTTTCTCTTCTTGCATGAACAAAAAATATTTATCTTTGACATTTGTTTATTTAGAATTTACGTAGTTAGTATTGTACTGCTTGTGATATTGTGTTAGTAGTGAGTTTCTATGATTCATAGGGGGGACAATTTTTCTTGTTTGACTTTTTTACAATTAATACAGTAAAGAATTTAATCTTTTCTAGGTAAAATTCCAAAGCAGTGGACTTGAGAAATGTGTATTTAATAAAAATGATACTGAATCATGTTAAAATTATAATATAACTGCATAAAACAAATCTTATTTGTTGTGTTTTGTGTCTGCAGTGTACTGCTGTTTTAGAAAGCGTCCTCTCCAAGCTGTCCAGATACGATGAAGGAACATTCTTCTCCTCCATCCTCTCTTTCACAGTGAGAACCACAAACATGCAGCCTCTTTGTTTTAGATGGCCACATGGGCAGCATTTTATTTGTTGGAAACCAGATCTTCACAGCTAGGCTTCAGTGTGATGACTCTTCTCCTTCCCTTCTTCCCCCTAAAAGGTGAAAGCAGCAGCCAAATATGTGGAGGTCCCTGTGAGTTTGCTGCTCTGTTTTATAACTCACCCTGTCTGTCATCTCATTGTGCTTCTATCTGCACACTTTGAGTTAGAATGTTTGGTGGGAACTGAGCGGCTGATTTTCTCTTTGAGTCAGGGTGTTCAACACTTTGTGAATCTGATTCTACCGAAATGTTGTCTTTGATATTGTCTGAATGTAGACTAGCTATCTTCTAGACATTTTCAGCAGACTGGTTGCTGTTTCATCTATTTTTATCTCAACTCAGCCACTTGTCCTTGACTCAAGCTGGACTGGCTCTACACTCCATGAGTGTCGTGTTTCAACATACCAACTGAAGTGCCAATAAAGTTTTCACCCCTCTGAATGTTTTACACTTTTTATATTATTTTTCAAATCAATCATTATCAACTTAAGATTTTATTTTTCTTTTCTTATAACAAAAATTTCAAAGTGAAAACTGATTTCTACAAAAATAATGACAAAAACATGAAGGATAAAGTAATATTTCAATTTATTTTATTCTTCTCTTATAAAATGTCTGTCTGAAAAAGCACTATATAAATTGTATGTATGTATTATTATTAATAATAATACATCATATGTAATAATACATACTATGTATTATTACACACATTATACAATAACTGAGTGCATAAATATTCACCCCCTCCAGTCAGTAGATGCACCTTCAGCCCTTTTTAAGTCCTGCCACAAAAGTTCTGTTGGGTCAGTGTTTGGGTTTTCTCTGGGCCATTCCAGAACCTCTACCTTTTGTCTTCAAACATCTCTGTGTAGCTTTAGCTGGTTGCTCGGCTTGTTGTCTCGCTGGAAAATAGATTTTCCACCTTTTCTACCTTTATAAGTCTTCTAGGGCCTGCTCCTGAGAAGTATCCCCGCAGCATGATGCTGCCACCACCAGGCTCCGTAGTAGGGATGGTGTGTTTGGCCGTTAAAAAGCTCCAGCAAAAACTTTCTTTCACCTGACCATGGAGTCTCCCACATGCCTTCTCTCAAACTTTAGTCTAGCCTTGATATCCAGGGAATGTTTTATGTCCATTATTTAAAAGTTTATACTTTTAAATAATCTTTCTTAAGCTTTGCTTGGAATGTTCTTTAGTTCTCATGTTGTCAATGTAGCCAGGAATACTGATAAACCAGTGCATGTCTTTATAATACAATTAGTGTAGTGATGGTTGCAACAGTGGCAGGAGTTCAGGAAATGTCTTTTTTTTTTCTTAATTGACAAAATTTTCTAATAATCAGTTTTCAGTTTGATGTTAAAGTGAGAGGTTTGTGTCATTTTTTGGCCAAAAAGTAGAATTTTCTTAATAATGATTGATTTGTAAAGGAAATAAAAGGGTAAAATATCCAAAGGGGTGAATACTTTTCGTAGACACTGTACAGTTGTGTTTCCAGAAACAGGCTCATCATTACTCTTAGACATTTACCCCAGAAAAGGTTTGGACAGGAAAGTAACACTTCTTTACTTCCCACAAAGCTTAAGTTGGATTTTACAAATAATTTGAATGATTATCTTTTATCTTTTTCCAGAAGTATAATTCATTTTTATTACCTGGCGCTCTTTTGTTTTATATTTTATAATAATATTTAAACACGAAATCTGTGAGCTTGGACTAACTGAAGCTTGGTCTTAATGTACCTTTGAAGTCTGAACTTGGATCTGGAAGTGATGGCAGCTGTAATAACACCAGAAACCCAGCAGGATTTATTAACTTATTTGAGTAGTTCTGTGTGTGCAGGAGTTCTTAAGAAACACAAAGTAAGATGCATGTATTGCTGCGGCCGTCAAATCTGTGATGTGCAAGGCAGCCATGTTAGGTTTAGTCGGTTTGCAAGTGAAGAACTTTTGAGTTTCCAAGTCAAAATCTGAACCTCAGCTCAATTTACTATGATTATTTTGAAATTCAATTCCAGCTTGGAAATAGAAATGTAATTCATCTTAATTACTTAGATACTGTTGGACTATACTATAATCAAAGCCTACAATCAAATAAAATGTATGAAAGCCTTTGCTACGTAGCAAGTTTAAAAGCCTTTAAAATTGCTACACGCAATTTTAAGGGTTAGGGTTACTAGCACCTATTTAGTTGGTGCTAATAAATATTTAAGGTTTGAAAACACAGTTAATGTTGCAGAGTTCATAATTTTGAAGTTGAATTCTGCCAGAACTATAATAGAACTTTGATAGTAGTAGTGGAGTAAATAGCATTATTGAATAAAACAGAATACAATCAGTATGCTTACTATACAAGTTAAACATGTTAGGTTGCACTCTGTTTCATGTTTTATAAAATAAAATCCAAATTTTATTTACAAGATAGAAGCAAACAATAAAACTAGATGGAAACATAAATAATTTGATATTTTCTAGCTGCTACATGGTCATAATTAAAGTAACACTCCATTGATGTTGGTTAGTATATTTAAAGCCATAGTGTCTGAATATCAAATGTGGGAAAATAGAGCATCAAGAGACAAAACCTGAGCTGAAGAGTGGCAGCACAACCTGCCACCCCCAGCCTGCTCCTGCCCCCTGCCCCTCCTAATGCTCTCTGGTTCCCATCCAGACTTCCTTCCCAACCGTCTCCTCCCATGAAATTATAGTGTAACACCTACCTTGGCCTGTTGGTCTTTTGTATGGAGGAAACCTGAAGCAGGTAAGCCTCTTTGGGAATAAAGAACAAGAGGTGAAGTCTCTGAGACCCCTCACTGTGCTGCACCACCTCCTTTGTCACGAAAGAACAAGCTGTCTGCATTTTACTTTTCACTACATTATAATACATTCCTTCCTATTATTTTCTTAAAAATGAAATCCTCATATTTTTTCTGATCTCATTAGCATTAAACAGCAGCGTATTTTGCTGCTCTGATGCAGTTTAACTTTGATGGCACATTCTTGATTGGTAATGAAGACAGAAAAAAACTCTGGACATGAGAAGCAGCATATTTACAACATAAAAACACAACCCATGTGGAAGAGGTAGAGTAATAGCATTACTGAATAAAACAGAATAGAATCGTATTTTATTCTAGAATTGCACCGCTCAGGGTGACAGCACGGTAAAAATAGATTTTTTTTTGGACAACTATCCCATCTTGTTTTATATACTGCATAGTTGAACTGATTTTTGGCAATATTCTTCATATTTTGCTATTTTGTTGTGATGCATAACCATAGCAACAAGGTGGTTTACAACAGGAAGCAGCTGATTAACACAGGAAACACTGAATTATTACCACAACTGGAACCTGAAATCCCAAAGGAGTTGAAGGCAGGCAGAAGAGGAACAAAGATGAGAAAAGAAGGAAGCTTAAACCACCTCCACCATTTGAATTAATATGAGTTACAACAACCTGGCAACATGGCTTCAATTCAATTCAAAGTTCAAATTCAAGAATACTTTATTAATCCCAAAGGGAAATTAACTCATTAATTTAGATACTTCAAAGAGTAATTAAACATAGTGATGGCTGTTGGCAGGAAAGATCTTCTGCAACGGTCTGTACTGCACTGAATCTGAAGAAGCCTCTGACTGAAGATGTTCAGTATTGTGATGAGATACTGAGCATCTCATCACAGAGTTTCTTTGTATGTCAAATGTTGATGAGTGCCAGGTGTCCATGGATGCTGGTGTTTAGTTTCACTTTGCAAACTAAAACCTAAAACCTTCAGTTTTAGGTTGCATCTTTCTTCATGTACTTACAGTGAATATTACTTCAGGGATGTCCATAATTTTCTTGGTCCTATGAAGAATTCTTCTTTGCATAGTAATCTCCAGAGGTTCCACAATCGTCCCCAGAACAGAACCAGCCTTCTTTATCAGGCTGTTGAGGATTTTTAGGTCTCTGGGTCTGATGCTGTAAGCAAACAAGCACATATCAGGACCCCCTGCAGTCTACTTATTGTCGTGGAATCAGCGTTGATGATGCCATCATGCACCTGCTTCAACAAACCCACTGTCGTCTGGACAAAGTAGGCAGCACTGTGAGGATCATGTTCTTTTATTGTTCCAGTCCTGGAAAAATAATTATAGTGAATTGCCGATGTTTTCTGAATTTCAAAATATACCAGGCAACCACAGAATACAAAAAGCAGAAATCCTGCTATGAATCATCCAATATGTACACATCTTCAACATCCACCGACCGACGATCTTCCATTTCCCCCAGGAATCCATTGTGTATCCAGCTGCATATGTCCCATCAGGGCAAGAGGGCGCTCCTATGCTCCGTCTTCTCATCAAAAAAATTTGATCCATTGCGTTGAGAGACCAGCTGACCAGATACATTATTTGCAATAAAGAAGATATGCAAAGAGAGGCTCCACTTTATTAACAAGTCAGCAAAGGACAAAGGACAGAGAGCAAAAACAGGGTAGATATGGGAGGGAGAGCAGGAAGATATCATGTTATAATATTATTCATTCATCAAAGACATACCTGGAGTGCTGCTGTGATTTCTTCGTGCATGTTCCTTTAAATCTCCCGCAGCAACCATTTGGACTGATTAAACCAACTGCTGCCTTTTTGTCCTTCTCGGAGCTGCAGTCTTGAGTCAAGTTTACGCCTCACAAAGCACCCTTCTCCGCTCCTCCCTCACTCAGTTCCTCCAGACGAGCAGCAGCAGCAATTAGCAAACACCTGTGCATCTGCTGAGCTCGTCATAGGAACTACTTCTCAGTCCTGTTCTCAGAATGTTTGTAAATGGCATAATGGAGGAGCACTGTAGTGATGAAGGTGCAGTGTCAGAACAACCAAGAGCTTCTTAAAGAAAGGGAGGCCACTTCTTTAAGTTATATATGTGCAGGAGTTTTACCACTGCTGAAGGTA